AGTGAAGCCTCCATGCTTCAGTTTTACCCTCAGCTCAGCAGCATTGCCCTTAATGGGCACAGAAAATCTTACAATCTCAGTGAATATAAACCAATGTGTTCACTTGATGCTTGGCTCTATCAGCTGTAAGCCTGGCTTTTGCAGGCAGCTTTAGGAATGACAGTTTCAACTTTGTCACGTCATTATTAATCTCTAAAACTAATCTTTACATGCCCTTGTATAAGAGAAGCCGTAGCCATGCAGTCCCCAGAATGCCTATTCCTTTATCCAGTTGTTTTACTTGGGTAGGATGATACACAATTTTCCCTTAGTGGTTTGTCAAACCAAATTTCCTCCTTGCTCAGAGAGTTAATTGTCTCCAGTAGGTGGTACAGCTGGATGGCAGGTTCAGAAATCACTGCACAGCACACTCACCACTAACCAAAGGAGATAGCCAGCATCAGGTAAGAGAGGTGAAAGCTAAGAAAAAAGTCAGCTTTCAGGAAAGCCTACTTAGAGCATATTTTTGCTGAAGTAGTGGGGGCTAGTGATGTACTTCTCCTCACTGTAAGGCTTTCTCTGATACTATACATGTGTGCTCCATAGAACAACTGTTTCTACCAAAATTAGAAAATTGAGTACTCAGACTTCACCTTTTCACCTGTTAAAGCCACCATGTCCAGAGGTCCATACATAAAGCGCCCAACTAGTACCTGAGGACCATCTTCTGCTGCAATGACATCATTAGCTCGGTGATTAGCAGTCACATTCTGAAATAAGAGCAGAAGGTGGGAAGTGTAGTGTTTGCTTTTGTAATGAGGCTACTCTCTCTCTATTATGTTATGAACAGTGACACAGAGACACAGTCCTGGACAGTGTGTCTGAGGTACATCACTGCACCTGAGAACACTGAGCAGAACTGTGCTCCCATTTCAGCTGGAGCCTGATTTCCACTGATGGTGGGCTCCTGAATAGACTTTCTAGTGAGAGTGCTCAAGACAACAAAATAAGAGAGAACATTTAAGTGAATGCAAATTATCTTTCACTTCAAGTGGTGCCATAGATTCATCAACTGTTTAAAGAAATATTCTTTCTCCCAACAGGTAGCGATAAACAAAAGTAAATTGTTCCCATTCCCTAACTGTTAATTTGCTTGCCTCTGGATTAAGTGAAGAGATTATTACTCTTTAGTAATATTCAGTTATGTAAACTCTTTATCCAGTAGATCAAACTCCATTTAAATTTCTGCCAAGCCCATGTTCCATGGCTGCCAGATATATTTAGATTTAAACTTACTCTCAATTTGACATGTGTCCTTTTGCGTAGCCATTTTTCTCGTGGATTAGATGGACTTAGTGTTTCTGGATCCAGATTGTCATTTTCCTTGAAATTTGTATTTTCATACCTCATCACCTGAAATCATATTAACATTTTAATAAATAGTGCGTGGCCTGGGGAGTCCTGGTACTTGGCAAAGAAAGAGAAAATTATACTGCTGCGGATAGAAAAAATAAAAAGATCAATGACCTGTCTTAGAATGAAAGCCACAACGTCTGTTGACTCCCAGTAGCTGGCATGGAAGAGATGCGGAAGGGCCACCGTTGGAAAGGCTGTCAGCACATCTGGACAATACAACGCATAATCTATTCGTTTTGTTCCCCACCACTTTGCAGTAACTACAAAAAATGAAACAAAATAGCATCACACATATATCTTAATAAATTTCTTGCTATCTTTATGTTTCAGCTAGATAATTGACTTAAGTCTTTTGCTTTTTTATCTTGACATTTAGAGTCTGTTGAAGGTATCTATCATACATGAAAGTACTGTTTTTACTAACTGCATCATCACTTAACTGTCTGCAATCAAAACAGTTCTTCTGGGTCCAAGTTCTGGAAACCAGAAATCACCTCAGCATGATTCCCACTGCTTCCTGGTCCATGGAAAATGTACAGTGAAAGACTAGTACTTTTATGATCATAACTGCAATTACTTCCCAAATAGTAAATGGAATATCTATCTATCTGTCCATCTATCTAACTACAGTACACAGCAGGACAATATAATGATCTGTAGCACTTTTAATTATAGATACCAAATCTTATCTATCTATATTGCTTCATGCGTGGAACATAGTTGGGAACCCCTGTTACCTCAAAACTGTTATGACTGTTTATGAGTGGCACCTTACTATAAAACTATGACTGCACTTCTATTACTTTATCTATTTGATTACAATCAGAAAAGGGAGATAAATTGTGTTATATAAACTTCCAGATACTTTTCCTTTTCATAGTAAACTTTTCCACAGAAACACTGTGGAGGGGAGGGCTGTTGCTACATCCAACAGCACACGGCACCAGGCTTCACTCACTGTTGGTGAGGTATGCTGATGGCAAGCTTTCTGTTGACCCTGAGTTTTCACTGTTTGTGCTGGCCAAGCTCAACTTTCTTGTTTTCCCTTGTGGTTGATCAGATGTATTTGGAGATCCAGAACTCTCCTGAGAGAAAGGTATGTTCAAAGAGCTGTTCTCAAGGAACAGAGCACTGTGGTTGTGGAGAGCATCACCTGCAGGTTACAGAAATGAAAATAACAACAAAAGCAAAAAAGCAATTAACATCATGACTTTGAAATCAGTGTTCATGTGTATATTTGTTTATTTATTTATTTGTTTTTAAATAGAGCTAATGAGCATTTTCCTGAATAATATCACATTTAATGCCCATGAATGAAACTGTGTCCTTCAACGTGACAACGGCATGAAACACTATGACTGTATGGAGAAAGCACACTCTCCTGCCATCCAAGTGCACTGGCAGTGGAGTGCTTTTGGCACTCAACCCAAACCATTTTAAAGTCATTTTCTAAGAAGAATTACACAGCCCTGGGAGTCTGTGATACTTCTCTTGTCCTCTTCCTGACATAAGCAAAATGACTTTCGAAAGACAATCTTTAGCAAGGCTATCTACTGGTTTGCACATTCCCAAATTGAACAGAGTTCGCATTTACACATGCCATTGTGACAAAGCCAGAGTAATACCTCTACTCAATGAAACAAAACACAGCCTTCCTCCCAAGGTATTCTGAAATGTGTAAGAACAGACACAGATTTAAATAAAAGCATTACTGACAATTTTGCTTGAAGCAGCCTGCATACTCCTCCTCAAGTGAGACACAGGTTATACAGCAAAGTGCACATCAAAAGCAGCTGACTCCTCAGTGTTGTTTCTCAGAGAATAAACCTCTTGGAGAGATAAAAACAGTGAACAAAAGAAAAAGAAGATCCAGTTCAATGCACATAACACAAAGAAAGCAGACAGCCCTGGATGATGTATTGCTCTATTTCGGAGTGAATTTTGGTTCCATTCAGACAGATAATTGTAGGATTGCTGTGCTCATCTTTCAAGTGATCTTGGGTTGGGGAGTATGTCGTATGGAATAGGCCTGGAATAAGTTTCTCTGCAACTTCTCAAGTCTTACCAACTCTCAATGCAATTAATACCTCAATGGTGCACACAGAAGGACACAATAACAAGTTGTTGCTTTCAGTGATGTAATTCAAAAAAAACCCCGGAAGCTTAAGTGGCTACAGATTATCAGAACTGGTAAAACAATTCATCATTAAATGAAAAGGAATAGCAGTATAGTTCCCTAAAATCTCCTCCCTTCAAAAAAGGAGACGGTCAGAAAGATTCTGGCTTGTTTTGACATAAGCCTTAATATCTCAACTGCAAGAGACAACACAGGGAGCTGTGCTGCAACTGAATCAAAGAAACAATTCAATTCTAACATTTTGTGATGGGTATGTAGTTTGGACAGAATATGTTCAACTGCAGTTTCCATGGGAATGTGTGGTTTTTCACTAAAGAAACTCCAGTGTACTGTTCTTTCAAAGGAATCTTGCTGACATGTAGCATAGCTATGTGTGGCTACAGGGAAGCTTGATGCAGGTGAAAAGAATGCAAGGATAATTTTATGACTTCCCTTGTCTCAGGCAAACTATAAAGACTCCAACACAACCAACAGAAAAGGAAATATAACGCTTATTACTTATCTCACAAGATGAGGCAGTATTATATGCTTTTTGTGGTGAAAAAAGCAACCTTTCTCATGGCTCTGAGAGTGACTAAAAATTATAATTTGTCCCACTAACCTAAATTTACTATTATGCTTGATAAGAAATGAAATAAAAGCAAGTCATTTGAGAGTCTTATCCTGGATAATTATGATAGTTACAGCTAATACAAAGTGGCAAAACAACTTGTCAAAGCCACACAGTAACTATCTCATGATAAAATTAACAATACTTTATCTTATGCATAAACAGTTGGAGAAGTACTGTGCTTTTAGATGTTAATTTCTATTTATCCATAATAAAGCAGACCAGTTGGATCAGCCATAGTCTGGACTGGCACTCCTGCATATTCCTTATAAATAAATTATTTCAATTATGTCACAAAGTAAAATGTGAGGTAGATGCTCAAACAGTAAAGAGGATAATAATTATCTGCCTCCTGCTATGTCAAATGTCTAAAAAGTACGCTACGTTGAAAATAGGTGTTTTGAATTAATACATAACAACCATATCTTTAACCTCAAAGCAGATATAATGAATCATGTCATAAGCAGGAAAGCAAAACAAGGAATTAAATCCCATACATTAGTAAGTATCAAAAGACACGAGTGGTGGTAAATCAGAGACCTGTCACAAAGCTAAGGCTCACTTATAATAGCAACAAAAGCACTTTGATTACAAAATGTCAATTAGGTAGCAGCTAAGAAAACTGCTGTTTAATGAAGGGTCAAGACAGTGTGGCTTTCTCTGGCTGTAATGTAACCTGAATTTGTACCTTGCACTTACAGTGAAGAACCTCACCAGTTAACAGATCACACTTTTGTCTGAACCATTACCTCCTGCCATGTCTTCTGTCAGCAATCACCACAGACGAAAGAGTAGGAAGGGAAATGTTTTCTCCCCCTGCTCTGTGTCCCTGGCTGTGCTTTCAATGCAGTTTCTTCTACTTTCATTTGTCCGTATATCACATTCAGAAAACTGAACTTAAATCATGCCTCAAATAATTTTAATTTATTAAGTTCTTTTATCAGTAGCCAAATAACGGCATCATATCCACCTTAGGAACTGCAGCAACAGGAAACAGAATTGGAACTGACCAAGTCATTGATAGAAAGAGAAATAATTCTCTGAACTAGTCCAGTCTCTGTAACTGTCAAAATGAAACCTGGGAAGAGTCAGCTTTCATCCTCATTAAGCTCTTAATAATTCAATCTATCACATACACAAAGAATACTATAATTACTACACACTGATTAGTGATAATTATTGATGCCTGCTGGACACAGAAGGTAATGGTCTAGATAAATTGTGCCCTGCTCTTTAAGTCCTGCCTTAGATGTTTCCTGAATCAAAATGGAAAAAGTAAATCTGATAAAATAAAACCTTGAAGATAAACCCTATGCACAGAGCATGTGGGTCCAAGAGCTTAATTTGATTGGCAAGAACAGAAAGACGGCTATAGAAATATCCCTCCTCCCCCGCCATCCCCCTTCCCATTTTCATGTTCTCCAGCCTCTGTTATTGCTGAACTGTTCTGTGAATCATATGGTGAAATTCTCTTCTAATAGTAAATCTTTTGTCAGGTACTTTCCAGATCAGAATTATTTTTTCACAGAGGCATCTATCAGGTAGACAGCAGAATCACTCTTATTTTAACCATCAGTGCTCAGGGGAAAAGGAACAGGGAATGAGATTGTTTAATGATATGAAAGATTATCAGAAAAGGCTGTTTCGGGCAGTGCATAATAATTAGACTTTGGTCTAACTAGGTCTCATCATAACTGATTAGTAAACTACCATTCCATTTGACACCACGAAAGCTCTCATTTTAAGAACTACTTTCACAAGCCCAGGTACCACAGAAAGGAAAAAAATACAGTCACTAGAATTAATTCTTTGTGAATGAAGAACCCAAAATTCCAGAAGGATCTCAAAGTGCTTGCATTTAAATGGGAGGATTTCCCATTCACTGAAATACAATACATCTTAAGTGTAAAGAAGAGCAATGATTTAACTCTGAGTAGGAGTTTAAATACAAAACCATACCACGGAACATTTGCTGATCATTAGCACTCAGGAATTTTTATTTTATAACACATCCAACAGACAGGGTTCCCAGATTTTCATGCTTTGTAAGGGAATCTTCTGACTCAGTGCCTTAGATGAACCCAAAGAGAACACCAGTAGTTTACAAATCACTTCTAAAGCCTCTGTTTCAAGAATCACTGAAAGGGGTTACCTTAACACAGCAAAGCTGGTAAAATCTACCAAAAAAAGGTTTTCCATTTGAAAAAGAGCCTAAGGGAACTATTCTTCCTATGACAGTTATTTAAAGGAAGGTTCAGCTTTTCAAGACAGCCTTAGCAATATCTCAGTGATCGAATCTGTGCCTAACCAGCAGGATTTCCAAGGCTTTACAGCAAGTCTGAAAGCAAAGCAGGGTATGAATTTCCATTGAAAGAAAACTCAGAAACGGGGGGTGAGGAGAGAGCACATATTCCCTAGTGTGGACTGTCCCTCACCTTAGCTACCCCTCAAATCAATTAATGAGGAACAGCCACATCTTCACATATTTCAGTGAAGCCAACAACTAGAAACAAACCTTCTGCAACTCAAGATCAACTGCTGCTTTTCAAACTGATTTGCATCCGATGTACACCATATTTGAGCAGATAAAAGAAAGGCATTGTTGTACCCTACTACACAGAACAGGTTCCCAAATACAATTCTTCTAGCTCCAACAAATAGAAAACATTGCCATTTTACTGTATTAGCCTCCAACCTTAAACTCCAAATCCTGAGAAACTTTTTCAAATATCCTGTTGAAGCTTGAATTTATGTCTGAACCTGTGGCAAAAAGAATAAATCTATTGCGCAAGCATGTACAGATACAAAGTCCTTTTTTGCAGAACATGACAAGTCAAAGATACTTCACACTTATACGACTTTATTTTATTTTCTATAAAGTCAAAAAAGCACAACTCCTTCTACTAGCATCTTGCTCATCCATGTATTCCTCTTTCCTGCCCAGAAATCAGTCAATTTCCATTTTCTTCCAGGATTCAAACCATTTTTAGTCAACATAATTATTTATTTAGTAGCCCACCTAGGAGGAGAGCAATCAAGATTGCTCAGTGCTCTGATCTGTCCTAGTACATAACTAAAGTGACCAAAGATCTAGGCAAAGATCTATTACAACTAATTGTAAAAAGAAATTGTTTAAAATAAAGACGTGGAATTTTTCAAGTGACACTTTAACTAGAACAGTGGTATTGCCTTCCAACT